GGAAGAAATAAAATATTAGCACTATGAGTCTATGACCATCACACAACAATGATCAACTTGTGCTAAAAAAAAAGCTCATAGAGACGACAGTCTTTGAGAAAACATTGGGGTTAATTGGCTTATTAGGGATATTAGAAATAAAAAAAATTATTATTGGTTATTACTTTCATTATTCTATTACTTCTATAATTATTATTCTACTATGATTATGATTCTCTCTTGTATACCCTATATATAGAAAAGAAACCTTTATTATTTAATAAGATTAATTATTATCAAATTGTATCATGATATTAGAGCAAGGCTTTCTCGGTAACGCCCTAAAAATTAGCTTAGTAGTTAGCCATTATTTTGATAAAAATGAATATAATATTTTCTTTTTTTTCCTAAAAAAATTTGTAAAGTCAATTTTTTTATTTAAAATTTGACTCATTGGGTAGATCTCGTAAAAAAATAACCATGATACATAGTTTGTTAAGTTTGGGCTTGGATGTAATAAGTTATGACCAAAATAGATGTTACAGTATGATAGATAAAAGAATTGATTTTAGAATATAATAATAACTACTAATAATAAAATGATGTTGTAATATATTAAAATATATTCCTAAGTCTACCCCATACGCAAGAAGGAAACCGAGCCCATCCCATAGTAGTAGCATATATATATATATATATATATATATATATATATATATATATATATATATATATATATATATATATATATATATATATATATAGACTTTGGTTCAAATAAGAATGAAATCTAATGAAAGAAATAAGAATAATTTCTAACCATTAGATCTAAAGAGATTGAAACCATCCCCAAGGTCATATTTGGGTTTTCAAAGTAACCCCCCTTCCTCTCTCCATCATCTATTCTCACGTCTCCAAAATTTTAGCGCACGATTGGCTCCATCACTCATCATCGTCTGTTATTTTTCACCCATACAATCACAAAAGGGAATGGAAGCTGGAGGTTCTGTCATTAGGCGCGGAGGCTTGAACCTATTCTCGAGGTACTGCTCATAGTCTTTTCTAACCCTTTGCCTCTTTGATTTTCTGGAGTTTTGGTGCAATTCTTAGACCATTTGGATCGTTCTCAGCAAAGGATTCCAATTTTATGTTCAATTTTGCTGAGCTAAGGCTGGATCTAGCAGAATCAATTTAATTGAGGTTAATTCTTTTTCTTTTTTTTTTAAACAATTTACATCAATTTATTTTTGTGAATTTTTACTTAATTTGATTTTGATTCTTGATTTAATTCTTTTCATATTGTTTTCAAAACTTTGATTTTTCTCCTGCGTTAACATATTAGTTGAATATAGCAGGTAGTTCTTCAACCTTTTTATTATGTTGTTTCATTATTTTCTGGTGTGGTTTAATTACTTGATTCATGAGATGTCATTTTAATAGTCCAATAATGCACTTCATATTTACGATACTACACACATATACGAACTTTATATTCACTTTGTGTTAACTCCGTCCACAATTCACTTTTTACTCTTTTATTTTTACTTTTATTGGTAAATTCTGTTAAATGAATGTCCCGATGCATTTCAAACATTACGATTGAATTTGGGGATTTTTCGTCTTGGTCATGTTTTTTGTTAACTCTCATGATTTTGCTCATATTCTTTGATTTTATTCCGTGGTTCTTTATCATTTGATTTAATTTTTCATTATTTTTTGGTTTGGACAGTTTCATTCATGAGATATAGAGTATCATTTTTATATCCAAGCAATGCATTTTGTGGTGTTCATACTACACATATCTTCCAAATGTTTTCTTCATGTGATGTCATTATTGTTATACCAAGGGAGGTTTCCTTATTACAAGTGGAGAATTAAGAATACCATGTGAAGAAGTCTCGTTGAGTCTAGTGGATAAATTCTAAATGCTTCCAACGATGTTTGTTGCCTGGAACTTCTTTTTCAAACAAACACTAATTTAGATTATACCAGTACTCAATAAACTATATTTGTTGCAGGTTTACATTGAAAACTCATTGATCAATAGAACAATGCATATTGCTACTCAAAACAATGCATTTTCACTCCTCTGTAGTGTTCTTTTGAATTTCAGTACTACATCTAGAAAATACTTACAACTTAAATGAGTTTATAAGGCATCTAGAAGATACTTACAATATATGCACACACAACTACCTTGGTTCATTTATATTATCAGTTCTTGCTTCAGTACTACTTGAACAAAAAATCACAAGTAGTTTAAAATTGTGTTAGTACACAGTGGCTATTTTTTTGGATTTTGAAAGCATAATTATTTCAGTTTTCCTGTGTGTTTTTTATTTTGCATGTGTAGTGCATTACCAAAATCAAGATAATCCATTATCAGAATCAAGATAATGCATTTACATTCAAAGACAATTCATCCTCTACATTAAGGTAAGCAATCATGCAATCTGGTTACCCTACATTTTAAGAACCAAAGTTCATGCATTGATGGTGAAATTCTCATCACAAAAAAATGATGTATTATATTCTAGATAGTAAATTTTCTCTAAACGATGATGCATTTAAAATATTTTATGATACATTTGAATATGGATTATCTAGCTAGTAAATTTTCACTAAATGATGATGTATTTAAAATATTTTGTGATAAATGGGAATGCGGATCAGAAACACATTGAATGTTACAAATTTTGAAAGATTAACATGCATATTTAAAAGGTCCAAATAAAAGATGAGTCTTTGAAAAAATAAATTATTGCCTATTAGCTCAAATGGTAGAGCATGTGCTACAGATGTGGGTTCGAATCCCGCATAGGCAAACTATTTTTCAAATATGTATTACAAATATTTTTTATACAATGCATTTTAAGTCTTTGTCATCGCATACAATGTCACTCTGAAGTCATTATTCATTAATTCACAAATTAATATAATAAAATTAGAATAAAATCTAAAGAACAAATCATAGTGCATATATCTTTAGTCATTGTGCATTCGCCTTACACATTTAATCGATATAAATTTGAAAAAATGAGATATTTATGGAATTGAATCAATTAGTTTT